CTATCTGTAACCTCAACTGAAATATAAACAGCAATGCTTTGAAAATAGACTGCATGCTTGTTCTCATTAACACTAAATGCAAAAGCCAATACACTTATGACAAAGTATGTTAAAGAACATTGATAAATATTAATAATGAAGGATAAAGATACCATAATTCAAGACTTATAATTTATTACTTTAACAAACACAATTGAGCAGCATCTATTAGTTATGTGCCAGGCTTTGAGAATAGCATATTGAACAAATTAAATCACTTACTTCTAATACCCTTACATACCATACGTCAAACAGATAAGTAACCTCTAAACAATTGATAGTAATATGTGTTATGGAGAAAAATTAACCATGGTAAAAGAAGAACTATAGAGTTGCTATTTAAGATATTAAAACATGAAATGCCATGGTTTACTCACCATATTGTCTAAAAAATTAAAATATAAAATATTGTTTGGATGATGATGTAGAGACATGTAAACTCATACATACCGAAGAAGTAAAAGTGATGGCTCATGAGATAGTGAAGTTGCAAGACAGAGTAGAAGAACATTAATAATTATATACGGTATGATGCTTGGATTAAAAGGAAGAAATTCCAGAAGAATAGGGTATGTGTAAAGGCATTCTACTAGGGAGAATATGGTACATAGCAGAACTGATACGACAGTTACAGATGAGGTAAGAATATTTTTAGAAATCTCGCACTGATGTTTCTCAAACAGATGTGTGTCTTATAAGTATAAAGAGCCAAACATCTCTGTATGCATTTTGAACAATTTAAGGTAGTTGTTATTTATCTCCAAGTTTTTCAAGATTAAAAATTTCATCTACGTTCCTCTAAAGAAGGGAATATTGCCGTTTGGTATTGACATATGATTTGGACTTCAAATTTAGATTCAGATTTAAGTTGTAATATTTACTTGCTGTGTAACATTAGTATAATCTATCTAGTTTCTTTAAATAACTTTTCAATACAAAGTATTCTTTTCTAAAAAAAAAAAACCTCCTTTGATTTATAGTAGCATAGACATTGGAGACATTATGTAAGAATCTTCATAATTCTGAACACGAATACTTCTAACTGATGTCAATATTTTATTTCTGAAAACATCATATATTGTGGTAAAATCTTAGCATTTCATGGCAGAAGAAAAATATTTCCTAGAGATTTGTAAAATCAAATAAATTAATACTTATAGAGGTAATAAATGATCTAATACTTAGCATGTCTGTACTAAAAACATCGAAGTACTGGATTTCCAAAATTAATTTATAATGGAATATTTTGAAGATGAACAAAATTAGAGAGTGAAACTGAAAGACTGAGGTGA